AGAAGAAAAAGGTGGAGATATCACTGGCATTTTTGAAAGACTGAAATTTGTTTGAGAACTAACACTTTACGTTAATGCTATACTACTTTTTGTTTAATGGTAGCAACTGAAAACAGTCGCTAAGGTGGAGCCTGGTGTTCTATACTCTAAACTGTGTAAACCTGTAATTAAGGCTAATGTTTTCTGAAAGAGATTACAGAACACCTCAACAAGACACACAAAATGAAATGTTATGTCATTTTTATTGCTGGAGAACTGAGACACAATAATACTGCTTTAATAGCCCCTGGTCACACATAGAATTTGTGCAGATTTCAGAAAGTGAACTGAATTCTTCTGAAGGCTGGTGTGGATTTTTGGGTGAACAAACGTCCTGCTCCTTAGAAATTACATTAGTTTCTCCTCTGTGCTCACATGGTGGAATTGTTCTTGAGAGACTGGCTACTGAGCCAAACACTTCGCAGCTGAAATCTCAGTGACACCTAGACCAGGTTTCAGCGGTCATGAGACACTGCACTGGTTTATTATGCAGCATCATAGTACACATTAGTCACAGACTAGAAGAGCCTTCTGGGAGTCCAATTCCTAGTTCCGAGACTTAACCAAATGACTATTTCCCTTTATTTTTGGCCTTGTAATATTTATGATAATAAGCTTCATTTCCATGCCATGTAGTTTTTTCACTATCATGTCATTATCCAGCACAGCCTTTTTGTGAGTCACCATTCTTTCCCAGCATTCACTGGTCGTTTCCTGAGCCAAGAAATAATGCTTTCCTGAATTAAGTTGCTCCAGGAAAAGTTTATTCACAGCTTTTTTGCTGGAGGAAAGACAGGAAAATGTCAGTGTGGCAACTTACTTTCAAATGAAAGCAGCTTCAAGTGGAAATGTATTAGCACTTCTTTTTTTGAAGAAAACAAAGCTCCCTCCCTAAATACAATCTAGGACGTTCACTTCAGCTCAAGACAGGTGATTCATGAAGTCATTTTGGAGGGAACATGGGATTTTTTTGGATTGACTACAAACACAAAAAACCCACAGTGGTTTCTAACAGACATCCTTGCGGGGGGGCTGGGGAGGGAGGGAAAGACTTCACAGCGCCATCGGTATGTACTGATTTAAACATCTATGGAACTAACAGTTATTTCAAATGAATTCTGTTAGATATAAAAAATAAATACAGATATATATTAAAAAGACATTCACCATGCAGTTATCAGTCAGTTCTCTTTTCTATGCTATCAGACAATTTCTAACTAAAGTGAAAGCACAGGCTGCTATGAAAGTAATTGTTTCTACTGCAGCATAACACAATGCACTGGACCATTTATGTCTCATGATACTCTTTGTAATTCATAGAAATCCCCATTGAAGTTGCACCCTAATTTCCGTGCTCACCTCTAGTTTCTTTCTTTTTAGGACTTTGATAAATTTTAACTCTTAGATGGAAGAGTTATATGGTAGGTGTTTGTCTTAAAAATAACTTTGAGGGGGAATAAGGGCAGTGAATATGCCTGGAGCTTTTTTGGAGGCTTTCATTTGCCCAGCAACCTTGGTAGGCTTACAGTACCGTACATTAAATCTAGTTTACAACTGGCTAGATGATTACAAAGGTGTAACAAAAAACTGCATGTGAAACTTCATTCAAACCTGAGTATAAATTAGCTAATAAAGGCATTGAAGTTGTGTTCCAGTTGTAGACCTAAAGTTGGCTGTGTTAAAAAAAAAAAAAAAAAAAAAAAGTGCTTAATGTATTGATGATGGAAAGGGAGACAGGAGAGAATAGTGGAAGCTGAAAAGGCTACACTCTCAATGGCATTGTGTTGTCCTTCACAGAACTGCATATCCTGAACACCAGAAGTCAAGGGTTGCGTGCAGTGAGTTTTATTCCTTCAGTAGATAAACAGGCCTAACTGACGCTAATTTTAAACTGGCACAGGGTTTCATTCACTCAACTGAGTCAAGAACAGGCATTTTAACACCTTACAGAGAAGAGAAATCTACAACCAAGATCGGAGCCGATTTATTTCATTTTCACGATTGCGTGAGTAAATTATATGTATTAGTGGCATTTCAGTGATCTTTTTAAAAGTAAATTTTGATATAATTAGAATGCGAAGAAAATATGAAGGTAAAGTAAATGCATGTGTAACTCTGCAAACATACCTGACAATACATTTTAGTGAAATGACTAAACCAATTCCTTTTCTATGAAAGACATAGAAAATTAAAAAATATGAAATTTTCCTCAGGTCCTCTGTAAGTGAGGGAAACCTCTAATCACAGCCTTTGAACTTTCAAATTCAACTGGAGAACCTTATATTAGGAATAATGAATCAGCTAATGTGTAATTTAATCGAAACTTGTAGTTTGAAATCATATGGTAAACTATTGTAGAAACTTTTAAGAGAATGGAGAATTCTGCTTGTATTTAGTAGCTGTTAGAATCAGTGGAGCAAGAGACTGGGTGAAACGTACATCTCCCCCCTTTATTTACTTTGTTCTCATTTTTATGTTAATGTAACTGTTTGTATTGAAGATTAATGTCAGGGATAAACTCTTATTCAGCAACCTCCTTAATAATGACCTTTCACAACACCACTTAAGAGCATCACACAGCCCACAGGCTAGCACTGGGCAGGAGCTAGTTCAGTGCATGCAGATGCACCCTTGGGTACACTAAGGTTAAGTAATAATTTGTGAGGCTGTAGGTTAGTATCTTCTTTGACTGCTTCCCCGTGAAGTTCCCAAGGACCAGCTACCCTTTTCTAACTTACAGTTTATGGCATTCTTTCTTCTCGTAGATAGAGATAACTCATAGCAAAGTGGCCAATAGACAGAGATGCAGTTATGCAGAGTCATTTTGGTAATGGAAGGCTGATCTGACAGACTGGGAACCCTGGTTCCTAAATTTCTGGTAATGTTGTAACTACCTGTCTGTTCTGCAGTGAGTGATACCTCTTTGAGCTCATCTCTGGAAACTGTTTCGAAACATCTAACGTTATCAGAATATTCTTAGTTAGCCTTTGTGCCGTAGTTCCTAAGATAGTCTTTTATATAAATAATCTCTCTTAAAAATAAGCAAGAAGATAGCTCAACTACAAAAGCATCATCCAGTTAAAATCTTTATTGATACCAGGACAATCACTAAAGATTTAAAGGAAAAAAAGCTTTACAAAACTGTTACAGAGTGCACAATAATATATTCTCAGTGGATGGAATCCACTTGGCTTTTTTCCTCATAGTAGACTATTCTACCATGATTTATTATTTTCAACTTATCTCCACTTTTTTTTTTTATTTTAACAGGCACAGCATAGATGTTAATGGCTATATGTTACATCTGAAGGATGTAGAAGGAGGTGTAGAAGTGGGAGCACTATAACAAGGTGTAATTTTGAAAGGCCTGTGACAAGTATGTCCATGCAGTAGTGTCTAGATCACAGTACCAGCAGACACCTGAAGCCAGCCAACAAGCTGAAGATACTGTGATCTCCTAAGAGTGATCTTTATCTTTTACCCCAGTCTCCCAACAGAATACAAACAGTAGAATAGTAAGTAATTAGATAAACACAAGAAAAAAAAAAAAACTTATAACGAGTGTCTCTCTCAATACATGAGAGAGATTTAGGTGTGTGACTTAGCTATGCTATATTCTTCACCTGCCCCATGAACTGCTGCTGTCTGCTCTAATCCTCCCAACTTTCCATAGGCTACATTGCTGGGGTGTGAATTCCAAATTTTTCTCTATAATCAGGAGGGCTATACTTTTCCTGCTTTTAATAAAAGCTAAGATTCTGATGTAATTGCTCTGCCACTTTGCATGAAGTCATATGAAGCCATTGGGTAATCAATGATTGACTCAGTTTTGAGCTGCTTGTTTCTATGACTATGCAGAAAAGCATCTGGTAAGCCAGTGGAAAAGATGAGCTATCGTTTCAAGTATGAGCAATTACACGTTTAGAATTTGATCAAAATTCACTGTAAAAAAACAATGCACCCTGTCCTAAGCAACGACTTGGCTGCCATAACTAGCATGAATACCATTCAGACAATCCCTGTTTGGCTTTTTTCCCCCCTGCCTGCATATTTAGGCAGACTGGCTTTGCACGGGGACCTATCCGTGACCAGCGCAGCACGCTGGCAGGGAAGGCCGGGTGGAAGCTGGAGCTGTGGAGGTGTTGTGGAGGCACTATGGCGGCAGTGCTATGCATGGTGCCTGCCTTGGAGCCCCGCTGCGGCCCTTGCAGCTGGGGCACTCTGTGTTTTTATCTCCACGGCAAGGCACCATGCAGGCGGCTCTCCGCTTGGCTTGTTGCCACGGGACAATCAAGTGTTTGAAAGTGGGAGAATCCCACCTCAGGCCACCAGGTCCTTCAGCAATAGGCCGCACGGCTCAGGAAAAGATTCAGCCTGGAGGAGGGGAAGGCCTGACCTGCCAGAGCAGACCCACCTGCGAGCCTGGGGGGTACCGAGTGCCATCTTGCTAATGGCCTCTGGGTTATAACGAGGTCACCTGGCCACGCTGTATACTGGAAATGCAACTGGTACAGAATTATCCAGAAAGCCTGTTGGGGAGCTCCGAAGAGTGCTACAGAGGCTGGACACTTGCAAGGGATTTTCCTCTTTTATTAAACGTCCTTGAGGGAGAAGGGTTATGGCATCACATGTTGTGAAAAGCCATCTAGGCATAGGCATTAAGTCCTAGCAAGACTTTCTGTCTGCTAGAACTTGCTGTGCCATGAGTAAACTGTGAAAAACACAAATGTGAAAAAAACCCATGACCTATTTACTGGGTAATTCTGGTATAAGTGAACAACAACGAGTGGAAAAACCAAAGCAGAAAATTATAAGGTGCCAGCAATCTCATCTAAAATACTGGAAATGTTTCCAAGCCTTAAATTTGCTGTATTACCTAGTTTTCTTGTTGGGCTGTAAAAATAACACTTAAAACTTTGCTGAAATTTCCTAAAATGTCACGTTGTTTAAGTGATAGTTACCTGAGTCTTCAGCCTGCTCAATGCTCCAGCAGAGTTTCGTGTTGGCTGCGCCGTCTCCAGCATCCTGCCTGCTGGAACATTTCTCAGAACAGAAGCACAGAATCTGGATCAGCAAAGTACATTGTGGGACCTAGATGTAGAAAAAATAAGTGTGTATAATGTTGCAATAGAGTTCTGTGTGGCTCTCAGCCCATAAATTAAGAGCAGGATGTTGTTGAAATTTCACAAGTAACTTCGGCGAGTCCCCTTTAAATCTTCTCAGTTAGTGGAAAACACAAGACAGACTTTTTAAAGGGGTCATTTTCATCTAGATAATAGAGACCCATCTTTGAATGCTGCAATATAAGGGGTGGGGGGTGTCCCCCTGGAAAATTCATATTGTCATCAAAGTATAATTTTTGCGACTTCTGAAAACAATCAGAAGAGAAGTTGTAGCCCAGGTAGCTAGTATTAAAGTCATTAACATCAGTATAATTCTGTTTTTTATAAAGGGCTGGAAGAGTTCCCCTAATTACTACAACACAACATGACAAATGCTTTTAATAGTTGCCTTTTACGTAGACACAGTACCACTCCAGCTATGCGATTTTACTTTTATTCTCCCCTATTTTATAACATAAATTAGAAGAGAGTAAATGAGGCAAACCATATGGAACCAAGGTCAGGTCAGCACCTATCCTCTATACCACTGCCATTTAAACAGTTTTTTCATAGTAAGGAGCATGGCAACCGTCTAACCAGTTCATTCCCCTTTTTATTCACTTTTTATAGACAACACAATAAAACCTAATTGAAATGTTTTCCTTCTCTTTTAGAAACCTTTTTTTACCTAGATTCGCTTTCATATTTTGCAAGTGTTGGGGTTGAAGAAACAAGCAAATTTTTGTTCTAACAACTGGTTTGTATTTATAGCAAGACCTTGAAGAGAAACAGTGGAAAATAATGAAGACATTGACAGAACGGTTTATTTGGATATTAATATTTTTCATAAAAGTGGTCCTAATGCAATCTGCAAGAAAATAAGTTTGTGAAGGAGGCTGCCTATGGAAGTTGTGGGAGCTCCATCCTCAGAGGTATTAAAAAATCAACCAAGCCTGGAGCAACCAGCTCTAATGTTGATGTTAGCCCTGCTTTAGGTGGGAGGCTGTAAGAGGTGACCTGTAGATGCCTCTTCCAATGTAAATTATTAAATTAAATTAGCCCTTGAATTAAAAAATGCGATGAAGGAGGGAGGCAGAAATATGCAAACATGCGCAGATGTGTGATTGCATGAGCATTATGTTCTTAGAAAATTAAATCAAATACTGATAATTTCAAAGATATGGGCTGGGAATGCAGTCCTATTTCTATATCTGTAAAGGGGCTATTGCCTACAGTTTTGTTAGGGCCTTCTGCATCTGGGTCTCAAACAATAAAGCTCAGTTTCAGTTGCTTTTAGTTTGGTCAAGCTGAAATTGTTAGAGCTGAAATTTCCTACACTGAATTACTTATTCAGGCTAGTGATTATCTTTTAAGTTCCATCAAGAGTGTCTCAAACAATAAAGCTCAGTTTCAGTTGCTTTTAGTTTGGTCAAGCTGAAATTGTTAGAGCTGAAATTTCCTACACTGAATTACTTATTCAGGCTAGTGATTATCTTTTAAGTTCCATCAAGAGAGTTCAGTCATTTAAAAAAAAAAAAAAATTAGCAGAAATACGCATTTCTTTCATATAAAGAAAATGTTTATAACCATTTAATTAAAGCTATGCTTTTTAGTAATGTGTTCAAGTTTGGCAGCCTAGAAAACCTGCACAAATTTGGCCAAGTCTTCAGTGGCTTAGTTTACATAACTGCAGAAGAGATTTGCTGGCACTGTGTAGTTGGTCTCCAGCAGTCTCTTCACAAAGAACATACTCCATCTCACAGCTTCAGAGGCAAACAGAACTCTTTGTATGAAAAACAAGGCTTCCTGTAGGAACAGGGTGGTGAAGGCTGAGGAACAGAAATCAGTGCTGCTGCTGGTCCACAGCAGTGGAATTTGAGTAGCGTGACTGAATGGAGAGCACAGCAAAGAATTAAGACAAGGTGGAGGTGAAAGGAAGGAGGAAACGATGGGTGTAGCAGAAGCGGGAGGATTTATGAACACTAAAGCATACTCTTCTTGACAACTTGAAACTCAATCCCATGCTCACTGCCTTCCCGTGAATTCATAATTTTAAAAAGATATTAAATCTTTATCACAGCATGATGTAATGATTTCCTTTTTCTCTCACAGGATTTATGAACAAAATTGATTCTGTTCACTGAATGGACTAAGCTCCTGAAAAAAAACCAAACCCTGTATAAATGTCCTTATTTGAAAAAGGAAGATGTGTAGAAATGGAGGCAGACGATCACAAAAAGAAAAGGACGGGTTCAATGACAAAGACAGCTGAATGCAGCCCTGAGGAAGAGTCCTGTCCCTGCCTTCATCTAACCGTCTCCCAGTGATTTGGGCAAGTTCCTTTACCCAGATTTTTCATAAGTGATAATCAATTTCTGATTTCCCTTCTACAAGAAATTGTGACTAAGTTGCTTTGTAAATCTGCCCTTAGGATGAAATGCTTCCCTTAGGATGAAATGCTTCATGCTCCCCAAGCGTAGTTTTCTAGTTGTTGTAGTCAGCTAGCTCAGATGCAGGTTCCTACAGTGCAGATGATACAGTTTGAAGAAATGAGTGCCCTCTACAGAGCTTAGTTCAGAAAAGCATTGAGTTCTCACAGCTGTCTGTGTTCACGTATAGCACCCAGAACAAACTGGGTGCTTTATGTGAAAACAGGCAATCCTAGGAAATGCTAAAAAAATCTCTTAAAAAAAAATAAAAATAATTCCATCGCCAGGTATCACATACTGGACCCAAAATCATTAGGTTCTTCCAATCTTTTTCCATTTGTAAAGTAAAATTCCCATTTTCTTATCCTTCAGAACATTTGAGGAAAGTTAACTAATTCATGTTCAAGAAGCAATTGGATACTATACTGATAAGTGCCATAAAGGGGGGGCGGGCAAAAAAGATAAAATTAATTATTCTGAATTTAAAGCATGGTGCAAGGAACGTGCAGCAAATCAGACATGGGGCCATAGAAGAGAAGAGTACATGAAATACAGAACATCTTCTTTTCCTGGTTTTCCCGGTTTTTATTTAGAGAGAGATACCTATTTTCTAGCCAGTGTAAAATCAAATTTCTTGTGCTCGTGTAACTAATTACCATAAGATACAGTGTAACTAACGCTGTAGACATTATTTTATTAAATAAAAAAGATTTTAAATTAAATAAAATGGGTGAAAGAATGCTGTAAGCAGCGAGGCAGTATGTAAACCCCTATCTGATTAGTTTTGCCATCACCAGCATCTGATGTTGGTCCTTTCACCTGGAATCCCCAGGCTAATAACAGGGACCAGTGCAATCCCAGGTGGGCTCCCAGTGCCCTGAGCAGAAACGATCATGTTAACTCTAGTGTCAGAACCAATCTAGCCTCAGGAATGTGAAACGCTCTTCGATCCATTTGCCCTGCCAAGAAGCAGCATAAAGAAAAACTCCACCTAGCAACGATGCCATTACCAAAGCACGCTAGCGGGGAAACAAACCATACTTTTTGTTTTTCTGCCACAGGCTACAATATATAAGCCTGCGAGAGTTACTGTGACTCCTGTTCCCATGTTCTTAAAAGCACGATACCTGCACTCAGTTTTAACAGGTATGCAGGTGTGTATTATTTTAATGACATTCAAACTGAAGCTGCATGACTCAGGAGAGAGCCAGCATGGCTTATACAAACAGATATAATTAGTTATTCTTGAACAAGTGTGCTTATGTTGATACCTTTCACTCTTACAAGCAGGTTGGCAGCAGTAACCAGCTGCAGCTTTCAGATGTCAGGTGCATAGATTTCCATGTTCGCGCAATACCTTTCCTGATAGAGGTATTATAGGGCAGGAAAGGTTCCTACTTCCCCTTGCAGGAAGACAGACAGTGACACTTTGTCACTTGCCAGAGATACACGCAGGCACCATTAGTGTAAGTGCCCTAATTCTTAAGTAGCCAATGCAGGATCAAAAGAGGCCGCAGAGTTCATGCCTACTTTTGCATCATGTTGGTTACAAAATGTGATATTATGTTAATAATAGTTAACAACATATTAACAGTTAATATGATATTTATGATATTTAAGATATGTGGAGTGAAACCTTGTCAGTGTTGTTATTCCTTTACATAAAATGGGTCTTCTACCGCACAAGTTGTTCACAAGGCCATTAGCTCAACAACTGCGTCGTCATATTTTGCATCTGCCCAAACAGGATCTGCAGCAGACGGTGACCTGACATCGCCGATGAGCTCGAGTCCTTTCTCCAAGCAGCGACGATAAACTTCTCCACACTGTCCTTATTTATAGCTTAAACTCTAGGGAAGAAAATTGCTAAGCACTTGACATTCACAACCTTCTGGCAGAGACTGCAGCCAGGAAAAGGTGCAGTGGGAGCAATTTTTGGCTAGAGTTTTAGAATACGGCAATCCCTCCACTCAAAAATAAATTACAACCAGTAAATTTGGTTCACTTGTAATTTTGTTTACAAAAAGGCACCCTAAAACATTTGATAAATTCTAGTCATGGATGGGCTGGTTTAGCAACTTTGGTATAAGATTTTTTTAACTGTCAGAGCGCAACCCTTGTAGGCTACAGGTATTTTTATGAAGCAGGCTTTTAAAAACAGTTTCTCGGTGAGTGAAAAAATCAGCCATTTTTTCATCAAGAATTTTTAAGCATTGGCACTAGAGTTAATTGATAAACTATTAAACTGTTCAGTTGTAATTTATAGCAGTTATAATGGCATCAATGTCTGAGTGATCACCCTATGCCGCCACTAAAGACATACCTCATCTGCTATAGCATGAAATACTGTAAGATGGTTTGTAATGATGCATATATCTTGTTACCTGCTGATAATAACCTATCGGCAAGGACAACAGTTTAATTATATTGTACATCTCCTGCTGGCTTCCAAATATTTCTGCTGCTCTTCACTAATTTCTTAGCTAAAAAGGA